TAGGTTGTGAATTTTTAAGTATTTGTTCATTTTCTCTAGGTTTTCATATTTGTTTTTCAGATTGTCTTTTCCTTTGTTAGTTTTACTAGTGATTTGTTGATTTTTAAAATCTTTTTGAAGAACCATTTCCTGCTTTTGTTGATGGTTTCAATTGTTTTTGTGTTTTCTATTTATTTCTGCCCTAATTTTTATAATTTCAGGGTTTTTGGAGGGTGCCGGGTTTTCTTGCTGTTATTTTCAATTTGTTGGAGATGTAGGGTTAGAGAGTCAATGGTCATTTACCCCCTGCCTTCTGATGTGCTTGCTTATTACTATAAATTGATCTGATTTCTGCTTTGGCTAAGTTGTGTTTTCATTGTCATTTGTTTCAAGAAACTTTTTAATTTCAGCTTTCTAGTATCCACTTATGTTCAAGCAAAGTGTTGTTCAGCTTCCAAATGTATAGTGTTTCTTTTTCTCCTTTATCCTCTTATTAATTTCTAATTTTGTAGCATTGTGGTTTGAGAAGATGCTTGGTATTATTTCTATGTTTTTCAGTTGACACTTGCCTTGTGACCTAAAATGTGATGTCATGTTGAGAACGTTCCATGAACACTGGAGAAGAAGTTATACTGTGCTTTTTTGGGGGTGTATTAGTGTATAAATATCTATGAGATCGAGTTGGTTTATTGTGGGGTTTAATTCTTCCGCATCTTTGTTAACTTTCTTTCTGGTAGTTCTATATTCTCTTGAGAGTGGCGTATTGAAGTCTCCAACTACTATAGTAGTGTTGTCTTTTTCCTTTGTCAGTTTTGTTAATTTTGTTTTATATATTTTGCAGCTCTATTATTTGGTGCATAGGTATTTATTATTGTTATGTCCTCTTTTTCTATTGACACTTTTAATCATTATGTCATCATATGTCATCCAATTCTTTGTTTTGTGATGGTTTTTGCATTGAAATTTATTGCTACTCCTGCTTTTTTTTCTGGTTGCCATTTGCTTGGTATATTTCTTCCCCACTCTTTTATTTTTGGTGTTTCTTTATCTTCACTTTTTAGGAGTATTTCTTGTAGATAGCGTATTGATGGATTTTGGGGTTTTTTTAATCCAATCTGTTACTCTTTTTCTCTTCAGTGGTGCATTTAAACTATTCACATTCAGATTAATTATTGAGAGGCAAGGTTTTATTGCTATCATTTTGTTGAGTTCTTTTTGGTGTTCTTGCTAGTTACTCTGGTCCCTCTTGCTTTCTGTGGCACCTCTGAAAGAAGGATGTCTCTCAGTGTTTCCTGCAATGCTGGTCTTGTTTTTACATACTCCCTTAGGTTCTGCTTTTCTGAGAACATCTTGATAGCTCCTTCATATTTGATGGACAATTTTGCTGGGTACAGTATTCTTGGTTGAGAGTTGTGTTCTTTGAGTGTTTGATATATGTCATTCCATTGTCTTCTCACTCTCATGATTTCTGGTAAGAAATTGGCACTTCATCTTATTTGCTCTCCCTTATAGGTTACTCTTTGTTTCTCCCTCGCTGCTTTCGGAATTCTCTCCTTATCTTTGATTCTGGCAAATTTGATTATATGCCTTGGTGTTTTTCTTTTAAGGTCTATTCTATATGGTGTTTGCTCAGCTTCTTGAATATATATTCTCTCATTCTTCATTACACCTGGGAAGTTTTCTTCTAATAATTCTTCCACAACTTTTTTGGTGTCTTTACTTGCTTCTTCTTGTTTTGGGATCCCAATTATGTACATGTTATTTCTCTTGATGGTGTCCCACATTATTCTTAGGTTTTCTTCTTTTTCCTTTCTTTTTGATTCTTTCTGTTCTAGCAGATCAGTGGTGACAATTCTATCTTCTATTTCACTAATTCTGTGTTCCATCTCTTCAACTCTGTTCACATGTCCCTCCGTCATGTTGACAGCATCTGAAACATTGGATCTTATAATTTGGATTGTGGTTTCTTGTTTTTCCAGAGCCTCTAATACCTTGTTTGTTTTATCTGCATTGTTTTTGGATTTTTTTTAAGCTCTTTCTGGTTTTTGCTTTAAGTGTCCTGTAATTCTTCAAGTCTGTCTTTCATCCGTTGAAAATATTCAATCATTGTTCTTTTCAATTCTGTGTCATAAAGTTTCATCAGACTTTCTGGCTTGAGGAAATCCATTGATACTATGTCACATTTTGTGGGTAACATCTTGCTTTGGACTTGTGTAGGGTGTGAGGTAGCCTGCTTATGCGACATTGCTGTGGTAGAGTTTTTCATGCCTGAGGTGATAGCAGGTTCTTGATCCAGAATAGTGTGGGGCAGCTAACCTGCCTGTGTTTTTCTCTGAACTTCTGACCCAAGGGAAGATTTGCCTCAATTTGGGAGGGAAAAGGCCTGTAAAAGCACTCTTCTATCACACAAGTGTTATAGCTAGGGCAATCCAAGGTGCTCTGGGCTAAAGGCAGTTAATTGACTGGATGTGAGGAGATGCAAGGTAGAGTGTAGAGATAAAGGGCAGCCATGCACACATGCAGATGCACACAGGTCAAGCACTCACATAGGGCAGTCACACACACACACACATGTTTGCAGGGTGGGTGTGCATGCAGACACATGCAGGGCAGGCATTTGTGGGGACCTGAATGGAAAACCAGGAAGTGTTGGTTTTCACCTCCAGAACTATGTCTACTGCCTCACTTGAGCTCCAGGTGTCTCACTCTTTTCTGTTTGACTTACGGGGTCCCATGTAGTCCAACAAAACAGCAGTGATCCCCACAAAATACCTCACTCAAAATCAAGCTGTCCTGCTCACTCACTGCTCCTGGTGGGTCACTCTCAGTGGGTTGCTCTGGGTCAGCATCACTCCCAACTCAGTTCACTGTTTTTTGAAGGTGGTGCAAATTCAGTTTCTTCCTAGTTAATAGCCATCCCTGGCAGCTGACGATGTGGCAGCTGCTGCTGAGGACCCCAAATAACTTTTAAATATAAAGGCCTACCCACCATGTCCCAACTGATTTAAACAAGAGGCTTCCAGCCCACAGCTGATAGTTAACGAAATAAAAATGACCAATCAGCTTATACTCGATGGTTAATGAGAGCAAAATTGACCAAACAGTTTAACCATACAACAACAAAAGGGGAAATGAACCAGCAGGCAGCAGCTGGACAGCAGCTGTGCAGACTTAGCTCTGGGCGGCTGGGTGGGAGGTAAAGCATATGATCCTGTGTGTGAGAGAAAGAGTTAATAGGAAAGGAGTGCAATACAGGGAACTTCATATGGAACCCATGGAATGTCTCCAGTGACCTGGCTTAGTGTGGCTGGGGACCTGACTCAGGGAGGCAAGTGTTGGAGAGAATTGCCATAGACGTGGACAGCACCAAGGCATGCGTGACGCAGACGGATGAAATTGGGCCACTTCCAGTCAGGAACTGTATTCATACTTTCACCAGCATTTCTCAGGTGAGGTTTCCCCACTTGCTCCTCCTATGGGCACACAGGCACAAGCTTTGTAAACAGGACAGAGGAACTATTTGTCCATGTTTGTGTTACAGATATTGGTAGTTTGTTCACATAAATCTCCAATTTGTTTGTGGAGTGGAGTTCATGAAGCTGTTCATGTTTAGTTTATAATCTTGAAGTCAGAAAGTTCCCTTGAGCTGGACTATGAATGAGGGCCTGTGGGCTGGCACATGGGGCATACGACAGGACCTGGGACAAGGGGTGTCTTCCCCTCCCCCAGGGGCAGCTGACAGCCTTTGGCCACCCCAGGGCTCACATGCCTTTGTCAGTGCTGTGGGTGTGTCTGGTTCACAGCAAGGTGTGCTGTCCAATGACCCTGGCAGCCAATCTACTCTGTGGCCTCCTGCCCTGGTGAGAGCTTCCTCAGACCTGAGTAGACTCACCTGCAGCATTCTTACAAAGTCTGTGACATCATTTTACAGGGCTTGTTTCTTTTACAAAACCACACCTGATGATTTTATAATTTAATAAATCAACTTGAATCAGAGCATATGCTGACCCTCCTGAGGGCTCCTGTCTGGTTGCTTCAATTCACAGCCCCATGGTGGTATGCAGAGGCCTGTCCCCCCAGCGCTCAGGGCCCCAGACACCTCCTGCGAGGTGCTCACTTCCAACCTTTCCATTAGCAGCGGTATGGCTAAGTGCTTGCACCACCCCAGATCTTGGAGCTAAGCAGCATCACCTGATGAGCTGTGGTAAAATTTAGAAATTTAGAAAACATCTTTGCAACTTGCCACCTAAGTCCTCCATCAGCGGCATCACTTTTTGCCCTCTGCTGTGCAAATGCTTAATTTGGTGTATGTCTTCTATCTGATGTGATTTCACCACGAGCGGCCTAACAGCTGAGATATACCTTGATTTTTAAAATCTGATAAAAATGATTGTTATGTACAAAGACAGACCTTGTGTTCCAGTGTGCTGGAGTTTATTTTATGAAGCTGAAGCTGTAAACACAAGCGGTAGAGGGCTGCTGATGTGTTACTTCTCCTTATGTGGCCCAGAAGGAGCGTGAAAGCTGACAGTGCTTGATGTCTACTGGCTGTGTCACTTGAATGACTTACTCTGCTGTGATTTACAGTGGTCCTGGGGCTACTGTGGGGGTCTTTCTCATACAGGACTCCAGGGCTGGAGACATCCAAGCTTGGCCTGCCATTTCAGGCCCTGAAGACGTGAAGGCCTTGTAAATTGTACTGACCCTGGGTCCACAGTGGAGGAGGAGGGCAGGAAACACCTCTCTTCATGAATCTGTGGTAGTCCACAGAGGGCCTCTGGTGTTCCATCCCAGCAGGCCCTGGCCTGAGCTGTAGGGCCCAGCCCTACCCTTGATGGAGGAGGCGCAGCTCCTGGCTAGCTCCCACCTCCTTTCCTTTGAGTAAAGTCATCAGTGAGGTCAGGAATGCCCAGAGGATGGAGGCAACTGTTGGCAGCAGTCAGGGGAGGAGTCAGCATTTCTGCCTCAGGGGAAGACTGAAGGCTGTAGTTGGGCAGCATGGCATGGCTCCACCCCAGGGGCTACCTTCTTTTGCGGGCACAAGTCTCCAAGCGGACCAGCTCCTCACAGGACTGGTAAAAGATGCTCAACTCCTTGGCACCCCAGCCCCTCCAGACAGCTAGGCACCACTCTGAGTTCTCATCTGCGAAGGCGCACACCACTGTGTCCTTGGATACCACCGCTGCATCCATCAGAACCCTGCAGACAGAAGGGCTGGGGTGAATCCAATGGCAAGGGCCTTCATTACCACACGATGGGGCTGTACATAGTGGGTACACCCTTGCAGCCAGGATGGGTCCCTAGACGCTCCTTGTGGCCAGCATCTAGGCTTACAAGGTGTAAGATTGGAGATGTCACTTTTGAAGTCACCACCGGGGGGCATTCTGTGACCTACTGCCCACAGGACATGGAGCTCTAGGGAACATCTGCTGGCAGATGGCCGGATGAATGTGGCTTTAGGGAAGTGTCCCTGCTGTGCCACTCTTCTAGGCCTGGGGACGGTAGCTCTCCCAATCTGCAGGGCTTTGAGGCCTGCGTCCCGTCCCACCAAGCCTACCAAGCTTCTGTGCCCTGCTTGCTGCCCTGCCTGCTGCTGCGTCCATCACTGGGTACATTGTGCTCAGCAGCACAGTCTGGGTGCCTGACTCCAGCTCTCTGCAGCCTGCCTGTGGTGTGACACAACAGCCAGAGCAAACTCACTGCCTGCAAGCAGATTCACATCATTGAGAAGCCCTGGTCTAGAGCACAATTGCTCTGTGGGTTCTGGGCTATAATGGGCTGTGATTCTGCAACACTTGGAACATTCTGACAGGAGACTAGCGGCCTTTCTCCCACTGAGTGGGTGCAAACACCAAAGGTTCCTGGTTAGTCTAACTCATTACCGGTGAGTTGGAGCCAACACATAGCTGACCCTCAGTGGGTTTTCAGAGGCTGTAAATTGTACAGGAGGCTTCCCAACTTTCTTGTGGAGCAGGTAGAACTATCTGAGAAGTGCTACCTTTGGAAGCATGCCACTAGAATTCTGTAGTTTGTTGTTGTTTTGTGCTGTCAAGTCACCTGTGAATCACAGAGATGCTATGTACAACAACTCTGAAACCTGTCCTACCCTGAGCTAATTTTATCGTCTCTGACAGACCTAATCCGATTTTTCCAGCCACTGAGTCAATCCATCTCATCTTCGGTGATGTCCTCCTCCAAGGACTGGTCCCTCCTGGCCATGTGCCAAAAATATGTCCGACAGAGCTTCAAAATATTTACCCCCAGGGAGAAGCCTGGTTTCACCCTTTCTAGAACAGACTTGTTTGTTTTTGTGGTAGTCCATGGTATGTTCAACACTCTTCTCCAGCACCACAACTCAAATGTGCTGATCTTCTATAATTCTTAGTTATTGTCCAGCTGTCTGATGTATAACAAGTAACTGTGAAGACTATGGACTGTAGCAGGTGGACCTTAGTCTCCACACTGACATCATTGCTCTTCAATACTCTAGCAAGGTCCCAGACAGCAGACTTTCCCCAATGCAATTTGTCTTTTGATTTCCTGACTGCTGGTGCCAAGAGTATGGACTGTAGAACCAAGGAAGCTGAAATTGCTAACTATCTCAATCTCTTCTCCATCTATCATGGTGCTGCCAATTGGTCCAGTGGTGCGAATCTTTGTTTTCTTGATGTTGAACTTCAATCCATACTGGAGCTTCTTGACCTTCTGCAGCAACTGCTTTAGGTCCTCCTAAGTTTCTGCAAGCAGGGTTACGTCATCTGCACTAGTCAGGTTGTTAATGAATCTTCCTCCAATCCTGATACTACATTCTTCCACATAAAGTCCAACCTCTCAAATGATCTGTTCCACATACAGATTGAAAAGGTATGGAAACAGGATGCATTACTAACGCACACCTTTCCTGATCCTGAACCATGCACTGCTCTATTCTCAGGACTGCTTCCTGGTCCGAGTATAGGTTTCACATGAACACAATGAAGTGTTCTGGGATCCCCATTTTTCTCAGAGTTAGCCACACTTTGCTGTGATCCACACAGTCAAATGCCTTTGCATAGTCGATTAAACACAGATGGACATTCCTCTGCTTTTGGCCAGGATTCATTGTTTGTTATGATGTCCCTAGAGCCACAGTCTCTTCCTAACCTAGCCTACACATCTGGCAGTTCTCTGCTAATGTACTGTTCCAACAATTTTTGTATAATCTTCAGCAGGATCTTGCTTGTGTATGATATTAGTAATACTGTTCGATAACTTCTGCACTCTTTCAGGCCACCTTTTTTTTTTTTTTTAAATGGGAATAAATATGGATCTCATCCAATCAGTTGGCCAGCTAGTTGTCCTCCAGATTTCTTGGCATAACCTGGTGAGCACATCCAGGGTAGAATCTGTTTGTTGAAATATATCAGTTGGTATTTCATCAATTCCTGGGGCCTTGGTTTTTCCAGTTTCTTCAGAGCAGCTTGAACTTCCTCCTTTATCACCATTGCCTCTTGATCATATGTTGTTTCATGAAATTCTTTTGTGTCTGACAGTTCTTTTTGATACACCTTCCATCTTCTTTTGATGTTTTCTTGGTCATTCAACATTCTATCCTCAACATCCTTAAGTATTGCAATGCTAGGCTTAAACTTGTTCTTTAGTTCCTTCAGCTTAAGAAATGCCAAGTGAGTTCATCCCTTTTGATTTTCTGACTCCAGTAAGTTAAAACTATTTTAACCACCAGGGACCTTTTGTGGTGGACACTGGCTAGCCATCAGCAGATAGCACTGCGGTCCATCCAACGGTGCATCCGGGCTGCAGCCTCCCGTGATTGCCAGTCTCGTGCACTGCATTGAACAGGTGTCTGTTCTTAGTGATGCCTGTGCTGGGATTGGGCACCTATCTGGTCCTGATGACACCTGTGCTAGGGGATAGACACCTGCCTGGTCTTGGCAATACCTATGCTGAGGGAGGGGCAACTGCCTGGTTCCTGGTAACATTGTGCTGGGGGATGCAACCTGATGAACACAGGTCCTCATGGCTTCTCATGCTCTAGCCCAGTGCTGCAGTCACTGGACACCAGCAGCAGGCTGGAGAGCCAGAGACACAGCTTCTGTCCAGCACTCATGCCTGATGTCAGCAGCTATTGGGGACAAGGCCCACAAAGCCACTTGGGCATGGAAGCAAATTTCATCTTCCATGAGTGACCCCTCAGGGAGCTGCTTGCCACAGACACATGTGTGGGTGTGCTGTCTTGTCTAGGAGAAATGGCCACATGAGATTTCTCCACCTCTTCTCATTCTTACTAAACTAAAACCAACTACCTTGTTAACTGGTGTGACCACTCACATCATGAGGAAAAGGACTGAGAGTCACATGGGAACCCTTCACATGTGCACATGTACATACATACACACAGATACAGAGGCTGGAAACACACGTTTGTCCCGAGGGGCCACCTGAGAGGAGGCTGGAGCAGTGCTGCCTGGTGAGGGTGACCGCCTCCCAGGCCTCGAGCCTGTCTGAAGCTCTTGCAGAGCTGGTCCTTGGCTAGGGCAAGGTGCACTGGGCAGGTGGCACAGATGACCTGCTGCTATCTGGAAGGATTCCTCCACTTTGATTCAATGGCAGTGAAATGCTAGCAATAGAGACACACCCTATCTTCAAAGATACACAGGGTACCCCAGAAACAGGCAGTTCTCTTGAACTTGGCCAACACTCCCACAGTCAGACCCAGATGGCTGCCCAGCTGAGCCATGTTACCTCTGTACCTCAGGGCCAGGGTGCTGACACTGGGGTGTGGGGATGAAAGGGTGAGGCCTCCCTGCAGGGACATGAAAAGGAGTCCAGCCTCTAGATGCTCCTATCTTACCCACGGTGAGTCAGTTCTCGGGCCTTCAGCACAGCTACGACGTGGCCTTGCTGGACACCTGTCTCCTTCTCCAGGCCGATGAGGACAATGTCTCCATTGCGCCTAGGACACCAAACGAGAAGGCATGTGTGCTTGGCAAGAGAGGGGCTGGCACAGACATGACCCTAACCCTAACAATGGCCAGTCTACGTGAGGACAGCAGTGCTGAGGGCCCCAAGCCAAGGCAGGAACGCCTCCAGGGCACCTCGGATGCCTGTGCCCCACTTGGCTACACATGACCTAGTGGGTAGGTGCTGCAGGCCTTGTTTCAGAAAACCTGCTCAAGTGCCTCCTGGACAGGTGACTTGCTGCCGCCAGGGCACCTCAGACAAGGAGGGGTGCCCAGGGAGGCAGGGCGGGGCATCATCTGAATGCTTCAATCATAGCAGACTTCTAGCAAGGACACCTGGTCCATGGATGCTCAAGCACCCCAGAAACAGACTGCTACAACAGAGGACTCATGCTTGGCCTCAGCAGGCATATGCTGAGGCTCTGGAAGCTGCACAGCCAAAATGGAAGAGCCCTCCTGGAAGTTGAGTGTGTGGCTGACTGCAAAAGGAGTCCTGCTCAGGGTTAGCAGGTTGCCCCCATCCAGTTGGTAACCTGTGTGTGTTGGAGCTGAACTGTGCCACACAGGGTTTAAATGCCAGATTTTCAGAAATAGAATATCAGACCATCTCTTCTGAGGTGCTCAGGTGTGTGTGAATTGGCTTGCTCTCAGCAGTGGTCTACACCACCCAGGATGCCTTGAACACCCCAGGACCCTCATTGTGCACTGCTGCCCAGAATGGCTTATAAGATGTGTCAAGCTGGGCAACTTACCTTGGGACCCAAATGAGGTCTTTAACAGCCAGGATCTTCACGGCCTGTAGGCGCTGGCCACAGGTTTCCCCGTCGACAGGGCTCAGGTCCTGCACAGACAGACCCGAGCAGGCCCCCAGGTCCAGTGACTGGTCAGGGTCCTCAAAGTCCGTGGAAAATGGCATGCTGGCCGAGCTGGCTGGGGAGCTGGGCAGGCTGACAGGGCCACTGGTGGCCGGATGGGGAGGCGAGGAGCAGGAGGACAAGGAGCAGTAGTCGGTCAGTGAGTCCTGGTGTGCAAGGATCTGCATGCCACGTTCTTCACTAAACATGATACTCATGTCGGCCAGGCCATCACCCTGGAGCTCCTGTGGGCTGGCTGCAGGGCTGCCTGTGGGGTCCAGGCCTGTTGGCCACACTGGGAACTTGTCCCGCAGAGGACTGGGGTCTCCACAGAAGTACCGGGCACACAGCTGGTAGGTGGCAGAGTGGTACATGACCAAGGAGTTGGCCTTGTCGTCCAGGCACCACACAACCTCCTCCCCTGTGCACTCAGAGCTGCATGCAATGGAGGTGACCACTGAGGGGGCTGAGTAGGGCTCCAGCCTTTGGTGGATGTCCAGGGAGGCACAGTCGACCACCAACAGGCCAGGCCCATTGCTGTACCAGACCTCAGAGCCGCTGTTGGCCACCTCCATGGCCCGCACGGGGTAGGGGTTCTGCCTTGCGTCCTCATCCGGGATGCTGAACTTGGACCTGTTGGCTGTGTGGGAGCACAGGTAGGAACAGCTGTCATCAGGGGTGCCTCGAGTCACTGAGAACACGGCCACCAGCCCGTCCGCCAGGCCTGCCAGCACCAGGTAGGCATTCTGTAGGGCAAGGACAGGGACAGGGTCAGCATAGACTCCAGAGCAGAGATGGCTTCATTCTCCACTGACACGGCCAAGAAAGGCCTTGATGTGCTCAAACAATGGGCCATCGTCCTTTCTTACTTTTTTTTTTTTTTAAAAAAAGACTCATAATTACTTTCCCCTCTCATTATCTCTGATAATCTCATAGGAACTTTAGTCTCTATGCAACGACAACACAGAGAGCTATGTTTGGCTTAGTGGAAAGTTATGCTTCCAAGCCCAAGGTGGGTGATTTTAATCTGCGGCCCTCATGCCTGGTTTAAATTGTTTTTGTCAAACATTCTTCGAAGCGGTATAGCACTGGCCTGTACATTGTTGTATAGAGGTAACTCATGGTTGCTGTGATGCTAAATAAACTCTGTGACACTGATGTGCCAAATGCGATAATGGTTACTCATGGTGGATGGTGTTTGGTGGATTTCCCGATTAAAACAAGCTTGAAAGCAGGAGTGGTATCCACTTCTAAAATGGCTTGCCTCCAGAAACTCTATGAACAGTGCTCAGGTCTTTTGTTCATAGGGTCGCTATGAGTTGTCTACGACTCAACAGCACTTAACAAACTTAAAAATAACAACTGGTGGCCTAGTGAGTGGTAAGGAGTTGCACTGTCAACCCAAACACCAGCTGTTCTGCTGGGAGAAGGTGGGCAATATCCTCCCATGTGATGTACTGCCTCTGAAAACCCGCCTAAGGGTCGTCCAGGAGTTGTTTTCCACTCAATGGCAAACAAAACATATAATTCCTGTGAGCCCAGGTAGCATGGCCCTGAGTCTGCCTTTACTACAGTCAGTGCAATATGTTCTAGGCTGACCTATTTTGTGGCACAGAATCAGAACCTGCTCCTCTTCCTGGCTGGGTGACACTTCACCCTGTGCATATGGCACTTTAGCCATCCACCTGTGGAGGGGCCCCTGGGGCTATGTCCATATCATGGCTCCTGATTCAGAGCAAACCCACAGCCATTCCCAAGGCTGTGCCATCCACACATTCACCATTGTGCTGGGGCCAAGGTGGCAGCCCTCACATCAGTCCACTGCACTGAAGGTCTTTAGGTTTCCTGATGACCTTACACTTGATCAAGCATGATGTCCATCCAGGTACCTCCTGATTACACGTCCAAAGTATATGAGATGACATCTGGCCATTTCTCTTCAAGGAATATTCTAGATCTTTATCCTCTAAGGCAGAAGTTGGTTTGTTAGTCTGGTAGTCCATGGTGTATTCAGTATTCTTTGTTAGCATTATAATTCAAACACAGCAATTCTTTAGTCTTCCTTAGCTGTCACATGAACAGGAAATCTGGAATCCAGCCCTGGAAGTGTGTTGGCGTCACCCAGCTGTCAAGAGGGTGTATGTGTGTGACCCAGCTCCCGAGAAGATGTGTCACTCAGTCCCCAGAGTGTGTATATCACCAGCCCTTAGAGAGGGTGTGTGTCACCCAGGCCCCAGAGAAGGTGTGTGTCACCCAGGCCCCAGAGTGTGTGTATCACACAGACCCCAGAGAAGGTGTGTGTCACTCAGCCCCCAGAGAAGGTGTGTGTCACCCAGCCCCCAGAGTGTGTGTATCACTCAGCCCTGAGAGAAGGTGTGTGTCACCCAGCCCCCAGAGTGTGTGTATCACACAGGCCCCAGAGAGGGTGTGTGTCACTCAGCCCCCAGAGAGGGTGTGTCAC